TGGACGTTCGCAGGTGGAGGAAGGTTGACGAGGTGTTATGTGGTCAACGTGTCCCGCTTCAAAGCCTTTGTCGCTGGCGCACTTTACCAGTCTGCATCAAAAATTTATTGTTTTGATTTTCGTAGTGAACAGGCGTGTTGCCAGAGCCTATGGGACGGTTAAAGGTCTTTGCTCGACTGAAAATTCTATTGTGGTGGTAATTTAGAATTTCCCAGCATTTGTCATGCAGATGACGAAAACGAAAATGCAAATTGACTAAGTCAAGCTTTTGTGCGATTCAAACGTCATTCGAATGCCAGGTGTCTTCGCAAGCAATAGAACAAAATGCGTCACTTTTCGAAGATGTTCAGAAGGTAAGTTCCTTGATGATTGCCACATAGTTACATTTCCTCTGCGCTTGTACAGAGGATAAAGTCCTGTGAAACTTTCCCTTGAACTCCACACTTTCCGAAGCAGCTAACCCAGGCATTACAACCGCCAAAGACCAAAGTAGTTTTACGCTTCAGCAGAAAATCAATCTCTGGAGATTCTTTAGTTGACAGCAAGCAACTAGCGCTAGTTATATCCTCCAGCCTTGAGGTAAGACTGAGACCAGCATCTATTTCGACTGGTGGGAGCCTGTTAGTCGTCGCTGGGCAGACTGAAGATGTTAGACTGAGGGCGTTTCGATGATGTTTATATAGGCGATTTAGAAGCTAAATTTACTCGAGCAGCAGCGCCGTTTAGCTGGAGCGGAACAACTGTGAAGTTTCCGTTTGTAAGAGGCAGAAAATGGCTTTGGTGAGGACTTGAGTTTAAATTTTATAGCAGAGAATGTATTCTTTAATTTCGTCGGCTACAGTAAGCAAAAGAATATTTTGAATCAGGTCAGGTTGTTGCAGTAGCTATGCTTGAATGCTGTCCTTTACAAGGACCCTGCGGTTTGTGTGGACTTCGTTAAGCTGCCTCATCTCAGTGGGCAGGTACTGAATCGCTTTGTGGCCCTAATTTAGTCAATGTGAGAGGGAGAGCGCTTCTGTGGAGTTGACACAAACTGCATCACGCTGACTGTTCTAGATGTCCGAGATAATTCCAATCCTCTCGACCTGTAGCCGAAACATTCTCTTGTTTGGGTTGGGAGAACATTTGTGTCTGGGTTCCAGCTTTTTAGTCGGTGTAACGTTTCGCTTCTCTAAGCGTTTCTTAGCTTGAGGCCGAATTTGTCGTTTGGCCGTAACATGTGTTGGTGGTCAGCCCAGCATTTGCCACCGTATAATGCTTTAGTCCTCTGGGTTAGATTAATAAAAAGACGTTTAGGAAAAAAAACTATTTTCAATATCCTCATAATGGCAGGATAAACCTTAGCTCCGTAGCATAGAAAGAGGCTAATAGAAGTTACGATATAGAAGGAGTTACTGCTTTGCATAAAGAATCATACCAAAGAAGCGAAATCCAACATACCGCATTTAACTCGCTCATTTTACTGGGACGCAAGTCGTCTTCGTTAGGTGCATAGGAGCCAGGTTTGTCGTTGAAGAGACCGATCGCGGGTGGGCCACGCCCTCCAACCCTTGATCGCCCGGGCCTGCCGCGATGTGAACCCCGAGGAAGTCTGGAAGTGAGCCTGTCTGCTGGGAAGGAAGAGTCACCAATACCACTGCTAGTGCCCAAAACTGCTCCCGGAAAGGGCAGCATATTTTCCGTCTTCGGTTGATTACCCTCCTCAGTAATACTTCGGAGGCGGCCGCCGTCCCAAACGAGTGTTCCATGTGTTGCAACTCTTCTGGCAGCATAACCGCGTCGATAGATTGGAATGGAACCCCTAGGAACGTTGGAAGTTGATTTCGTATCGCCGGCGTCAGGTTCTGAACTCTGGAATCCACGACGAGAAAAGAGAAAAGGAACATACGCTTAAGATCGCAAATCAATAATCCTACGCTCAGTGGTATTCCTAATACCTGGTTCAGCTAACATTATTATACAGGTCTATGACAGAATGAAAAAGCCCTCTGCGTTTGATTCCACCGACAGAAGATCGTCGATTGAGCGAGGTTGAGTCGATGGCATGCCGGCCATGCAAGCCCTAGGCCTCATGGCCAGAGATGTGCTCCAAGTTAACTCCCCCTCGTCTCCAATCCACTATCCTGGCATATTCACATGCGGGAACTGACCTTGGGTCAGTCGACCTCCGGATGATTTTGTTATTAGATCTGCGAACAGCATCTTTGGGTTATTTCAGTTTGTGAACAGGGAAGGTGCGATTAGCCGGTTTTGCTCCTGACAAACTGCTCAGAGGCAATCGGAATGAGAACAGAAAACTGAGGTAAAGTACAATTGGTCGAAGACGATCTAGAAGCAGGCATAAGTCAAACGTACGGGTTCTCTCATGTTCCCATGGGCAGATTCTTTACGTGCCGATATATGCCCTACGCCTAGTCCTTTAACCAATGTCGTGCCGACGCGTGCCTGTTTAGGCCGCCGTTCGAGTCCCTCATTAATTCGCCCGTTGGTAGGAAGATCTGTCACACGATGTTCGAGAAACGGCACTAATTTGAGAGATTGACTCGCTCCGACGACAAAACCCGTGGTGAACATCAACGAGCTTAGTTCAGAACCACCTAGACCGCCTTAGCGACAATCTGTCACGGATCACGCCGAGGTTCTGCAATCGATTTCGACAATATCACAAAGTTCTCAATTCAATCCAAATCTGTAATGCACAGGGCGTAGCCCACTAAAAAGCCTAAGCGATCTGCCATTGATATCGAAGGATCGGATCAATAAAGTAAAATGACAGTAATACAAGTGTTGTCGAAAGAATACAGACCTAGCAAACGTAGTAAATGGCATTAAGATTGCATGAGGACCAGTCTTCACAGAGTACTGACTTTGTGTTCTTGCCAGTTGACAGGAAAGTTCTCATTGGCATGGAGGACTCTCCCCCGACAAAAGCGGCCATGCCGTCGGATTATCTAGTATTAAAACCAGATCTCATAGGTGACCGCAGCATCGCAAACACATAATGTTCTGGTAGGGGGCGCTCACCGATCGTTCTTACGGAACTCACTCGTTCCGTTGTGCCTTACGGATTCTCTCTCCAGCCCAACCAGCAGCCGCACAGCGGCGCATGATACAGGCAGTATGTTATTACCGACAAATGGAATGGCCATTTCTGGCTTATTAGACGCCGGTCAACACCCGCTTTCATTGTATCTTTCCCATTTAAACAGACAGGACAACGGGCCCGTGGCCCAGTGGTTAGAGAGGTTGGACTTCTAACTAACAGTTCGCGACATGGAGCCTCAAGTTTTCCATACTTCGGGATTGGGTAT